CGCTCCAGTGAGGGGCGTCCCCCGCTGCAAGGCTTCCTTGAACGATTCTCGTCGTCCATCGGTTCTACTCCTCCTCCTCCTCCTCCTCCTCCTCCTCCTCCTCCTCCGCCTCCTCCTCCTCCTCCCTCCTCCTCCTCCTCCTCCTCTTCCTCCTCCTCCCCAGACCTCCGTCGGATTGATTTGTCCAATCCCAGCACCTCTTCAGGTTCGTATTCCAGGAGCCGTTTTCGGGCGGGCCCCAGGACCATCGAAGACGGATCCACGACGAAAAACTGCCCCTGGGAGCAGGATCGAGACCTCTAGCGTCGGCGGATCGCAGGTCTGGTCTTCCCCTATCGCGACCCCCACTGGCCCGAATCGCTGTACCGGAGGAGCTCTATGTCGCCCATCAGCGCCACGTCCTTCTTCTCGAAGGCCGGCCTGGACGGCTCCAGCTTGCCGGACTTCTGGTTCAGCCTGGCGTGGTCCAATCGGCCCGAGCATCCCGACCTGGCCGAGCCTCCCGGCCTGCTTGGCGGTTGCTTCTTTTGGCTGGACTTGTACGACTCGCGCTCCATGATGCCGATCAGGAAGAAGGGCTTCTCGTCTGGGGTCTCGAGGCATGCGTGGAAGACGTGCACCTCGACCGGCACGTTCACCGAGTCCTCCAGGTGAATGTCGACGGAGCGCAGCTGCAGGCCAGCCACGTCGTCTGCGCCTGGCAGCGTGCTATCATCATCGCTGACCAAAGACTTGCTGAAGCTCTTGATGAAGTCTGCATACTTCTCGCGATCGCCCGCGTGCACGAAGTCTAGAAAACGTCGTCCAGCTGTCGCGCGCCGGCTGATAAGAGTGGACAGCGAGGGCGCGTCGTCCAGAATCTCCAGGTCCACCGACACACGCGCAACGGCGTCGCAGAAGCAGTTGAGCACACTGCACGATATGTCTCCCGCCAGAGTCACCATGCATCGTGATTTCTCCAGCGCGCCTTCTTCAGACCGCCGCCGCGTCACGAATCCCTCATAAAGAAGATGGCAACAAACAATTGCCGATATCAAAAACGGCAACTCATCAATAAAGCTGTCTTTGAACCTAAAGATGAGCAGGACACAGTGACCAATCATGTACGAGGTATATGGCGTGACATATGTCATACGCGAAGCACTGCAAGGAGCGACGAACAAGAAGAACACCTTCCCGAACAGATCTTCGCTTGCACAGACAATGAAACAGAGGTGGCCGACCAAGCGAGACGTGTGATGCACAGTATCGCTCAAGATGTGCATCTTTTTGATATGGACGTATCCCTTGGCCGTCGTCAGGGCCCTCCGGGTAAAAATACCGCAGCTGAAGAGCAGGGCCAAGCACACGATGTTCAGCACGATAAAGGGCCTCCGCTGCGGTATGAACAGTTGCGAGAGGAAGATGGCCGTGGGCCCGACCAGTCCCCTCGTTGGGGGAGGCAACCATCTGCTCGACCATCCTCCTCCTGCTCCTCCCCCTGCTCACCCTCGTTATCCTCATCATCCTCATCGTCAGCATCATCAGATCAGCATCATGATTAGCGTGATCATCGCCCTCCTCCTCATGATCATGATCACCACCACCACAACCACCACCACCATCATCATCATCATCATCATCATCATCATCATCATCATCATCATCATCATCAGCGTCATCATCGTCATAAACGTCGTCGTCGTCGTCATCACTGTCACTAGCCCTCTCCTCCACCTCACCTCTTATTAGTACTGGTATTGTTAGTAACACTACCATTATCAGTTCTCCTCCTTATCCTCCTGCTCATGCTCCTGCTCCTGCTCATCCTCCTGCTCCTCCTCCTCCTCCTCCTCCTCCTCCTCATCATCATCATCATCATCATCATCATCTGCATCATCATCATCATCATCATCATCATCATCATCATCACCACCATCATCATCATCATCAGCAGCAGCACATCATCATCCCTCCTAACCTTTCATCATGTCCTCCTTCCTACTCTTCATCATACTCCCTCCTCATCGTCGTTCTCCTCTTCGCCCCTCTTCCCCCCGACCTCCTGCTCCTCATCGCACTCCTCCTCCTCCTCCTCGATACTCATTCCGCCCTTGTCAAACTCACTCCTCCTCCCGCTTCCCTCATCCCCCCTCCCCCATCCCCCCTTCCCCTTTCAAAAGATCATGCTTTAAGAACATCTTGACAAAAAAGCTGCACCAAGTCCACACGCGCAGGCAAAGTTCAAAGTCAAATCAAACACATTAGCTACGCAAGAAATTCCCAATTGAAACATCGAAAAACACGGCACAAGAGGCGCCCAAGACAGCCCACGAGGCACCCCCGTCTTGCCTCTGTTCCCTCCAGTTGGCCCAGGATGGCGTCCAAGACGGCCAAGATGGCCCAGGATGGTCTCCAAGACGTCTCCAAGACGGCCCAAGATGGCCTCCAAGACGGCTAAGATGACCCCAAGATGCCTCCAAGACGGCCCATGATGGCCTCAAGATGGTGTACGACGGCCCAACAGGCCCGCAAGAGGCCTCCAAGACGGCCCAAGAGCCCTCGAAGACGTCCCCCAGGAAGGCCCGAAAGGGCCAAAATAATGTATGTTCCTTTGGTGTTTGAAAGATTTACGCATTTGCGCCGTTTCGGCTTTCCGACGGCCCAAAACAGCCCAAGAGGCCCCCAAGATCGCCCAAGAGGCCCCCAAAAGGGCCCCATGACGGCCCAAGTGGCCTCCAAGACGGCCCCAAGAGGGCCCCAAGACGGCCCAAGAGGCCTCCAACACGCCCAAGATGGCCTCCAAAACGCCCAAGATGGCTTCCAAGACGGCCCCGAAGCGCCCCAAGAGGGCCCCAGGTCGGTCGGCCCAGAGAGGCCCCCCAAACGGCTTCCGACGGCGTCAGACGGGCCAGAAGCCCACCAAGATGGCCGAAGTTGGCTCGAAGCTGGCCCAAGACGGCCCAAGAGGCTCCCAAGAGGGCCTCCAGGAAGGCCAGAAGAGGCCAAAAACATGTTGTTATTTTCTGAACTCGCGGAGAACATACTTCTGTTGCGACACCAGGCTCGAGGCTGCCGCTACTGCTGCAAAACCAGCTGGCACGGACTAGAGTCACGAGACCCTCGTCGCGACCAGGAATCGATTCAAAACGCACCCCGCGAAGTTAAAGAGGGTGGGCAGGGAGGGAAGCTTGAGCAAGAGCGGTTGCGGGCAAGAAGAGCAAGGCCCGTAAGACACGGCAGACGTTACTGAAGTCACAGCAATATCGTGGCACCCACAAACATGCTGTTTTTTTGTTTTCTGAACTCGCGGAGAACATACTCCTCCACGCCTCGTTCAGTACCCTGTCTTCTCGCAGCGCACGATCGAGCGAAATGATGACCACCCCCCTCTCTTCATTGCCTCTTCCTGGGACCGAAGACGGAAGGCGCGGTCGAGGCTGATCCCGCCGTGCCGCGCCCGATAGGGCACCACGGGGATCCGCAGCCGATCTCCTGCTACTCGCAACAGTCGACCGAAGCGCTGGTAGTCCCACGGGAACAGCTTCTCCGCAGACGAGCCTTTGGCCAGGTGCGCAAACACGGGGTCCGCCCAGCGCGTCCTTTCGGAGTCCATCACCACAATGTCGTCCGCGCCCCCCACCGTGCTCCGTTTGATCTCCGCCTGGGGGAAGAGGCGCAGGCTCCAGTCTGTCAGGCCGCCCCGCGCCGGGGGGGCCAAGGAGCCCCGCCGGAGGCCGAGCAATTCTGACGGCCTCAGGTAGGCGCCCACCATCAGCAGCACTCCAAACCCCGCGCGCCCGCGCCCGCTTCGCAGCAGCTCCGGCGCCAGCGCGGCCCGCACGGCCCAAGGCAGCGGCCGCCGACTGAACTTCGGGCAGAGCTTCCTCCACCCTCTGAGGCACTGAAGAGCCCGTGGCACGCGCCGGCTGCCTCCTCGCCCGAAACTCGGGAAAGCGAACATCAGGGCGGCCACCATGCACTCGCCACGCCACACGCGGTCCCCGAGCCGATACCTCGAGTTCATCCACGCCACGAGACACTCGTCCACCTCGCCGCCCTCGCACAGCGGCATGCTCCCCCGGTCGGCGAAGTCCAGGAGCTCCTGCACGAACGACCGATACCGGACTCTGCTGGCCTCCGACACGCTCGCGGCCCCCAGGTAGCTCTGGCCAGGAAGCATCGCCGTCTTGCCCTCGGCCATTCGCGCCACCCGCCGCCGCGCCCGCTGCCGCGCCAGCCGCTCCTCCTTGCGGTCCGCCTCGGCCAACGCCTCCTCGGACGCGGAGTCGCTCTCGTCGCCCCCGACGGTCGAGCCGGCGTCTGCGGCCCGACCTGGCAGCCTCGCCCCCGCCTCCAGCGAGCCACTCGGCCCCAGCGTCGGCGCCTCCAGCCGCGACTGCAGGCTCGTCGCCTTCGCCGCTGTCAGCGTCTGGGCGCGCCTCGAGCATCGGCTCCGCGCGCGGCCCTGCCGCTCTCCAGCTGCCGCCAGCGTCCGCGATCGCCCGACCGCGCCCCGCTGCACTCCCGGCGCGGGCACCGCCAGTACCCTCTCCCGCCTCGCCTGGACCATGCGATCGAGGTCTCCGAGCCGCACGGCCGACGGAAGGTCGTCTGGGCTGTCTCGCAGTAGGGCTCGGCTCGCTGCTCATAGCTCCTGTCTCCTGCTCCTCCTCGCACCTCCTCTTTGCTCGCTGCTCTCGATCCTCTCCTCCTCCTCCTCGATCTCGCTGGTCATCATATTATCGCTCTCCTTGCTCCTGCTCGTGCACTTCTGACGGTAGCTCTCTGTCTCCTATAAGTTATGCTTGCCTCTCTCGCCCGCATCGCTCATGCCCTTGATCATCTGACTCGCCATCTTGATGCCCCTCTTGAGTCCGTTCGTCGTCGTAGACCTCATCGACCTCTGAAACGCCCAGGCTTCGGCCCCGACCCATTTTATCATCACGTGGCCCTGGGGGGCAGGAGACGATCCAGGTGGCATCTTTCTTTTCATCGTAGTCCCTGTCAGACAAATCGGCTTCCCTTGTCGCTGCCGTTCAGCTCTGAAGGCACCCAGCGGAAAACCAGCCGCGGGCCTCGCGCCAGCGCGAGAGAGCCAGCCCGCCTAATAAGGGTCAGCAGCTTGAAGCCCCTTGAACGGGACCCCCCCAGCGCCGGGGTCAGCGCCAGGTTGTCTCCCACAGACAAATATCGTGCGTCGTGTCCGCGTCGGCTCCTGGCGAGGCGATCGATCCCCTTCAGCACGGCCCAGGCCTCCAGGTGGATGGTCCCTTCTTCGTACCTCCACTTGTCAGCCATCACAGGGATCCATGTAGCAGATGAGCTGGCAGCTCCGGGAACGACCTGTCGCGCTCCCATCTCAGCGCCTCGCCCTTGGTAGGCTCGGCTCGAGCCTGCAGCAGCCCGTCGTCGCGCTCCTCCAGCCCTGCAGCAGCAAAAGCGTGGCCCCTCGCGGCCTCGGCCCCCAGGCGGAACTGGGCGCGCTCGGGCACTCGCCCAGCGTCCGCGACCGCCGCCACCGGCCACTGCGAGCAGGCCACCCCGAAGCCCCACGGTGAGGCATCGGTCTGGTCGACGCCTGGCAGCCACTGAACATCCCACTTCGCCTGCAAGAAAACCACGGTACCGCAGAAGGCCTTAAGCTCCTCCTTCACGCACTGCGACAGCGGCGCCTTCTCGTAGCACAGATCTTCACAAACCTGTAGGCGCCGTGGAGAATGGGCAGCAGCCCCCGCCTGATCAAGGCCACGAACGTCACATGCCCCACAGGGACCTCGAGCTCATGCCCGCTGCAGACACCGCGCCGCAACACCTCCTGGATGGAGTCCCGCGCGCGCCAGAACCTCTTGGCCGTCGGCCGAGCCCAGCCCCGAGCTCCGCCCACCTCGATGCCCAGGGCCACCCCGCACTCGCAGGTCACCTCCGTCTCGTGCACCGTCACCCCCTGGCCCCCGAAGGCCTCGGTCACCGCGGTCAGTCCATTGCGCACGTACTCCTCGTCATCGGCCAGCACGCCTAAGTTGTCGACGTAGCAGCACTTGACTCGCCCAGCGTCGCCCCCTCCTCCCTGGAGCACCAGCGGCGGCCCACGATCCTGAAGAAGGTGCGAGCCCCCCAGCTCCTTGGTCATCCCCATCTGCCGGGCGTTGGCCCCCTGAGCAACGCAGAGGCTCCGCGCCCAGCCCATGGGGGGGGACTGCGCGAGCGGGTTCGACACAATGTCCTTCTCAACGAGCTCGGAGGCCCACACCTCGGGGCAGGCGAAGCACTCGTCGAGCTTCGACTCCTTCGGGAACCTCAACCAGTGGAAGCAGTCCTTCACGTCCGAGGTCCCTAGGTAAACAGCACCCACTTCGCCTCCATGTCGCCCCACCCGACTGAGACTTTCCCCCGTCAGCAAGCTCACACTTGGGGGCGATACAAACTGCCGGTTAGACGCCCGACAATCCAGGATGAGTCTCCGCTGCAAGCCGTCCTTTTTCTTCACCACAAACACGCCCACGTCGCACTTCTTACTGGCACTGAGTCGCACCAGCCCTATTCGCAGGAGCCTCTTGACCAGCCCAACGCACACCTTCCCATTGGACTTCAGCACGGGGTCTGCGCAGGGCAGCACAGGGCCCAGCGCCTTGTCGAGAACGGCCACCCCCTCGGGCGACCTCAGCAGGTAGCTCTCGTACTCCTTCAAAAACTTCAACGCCGCATCCGGCAACAGTCGATCCACTCGAGGTGCCCGCCTGACGTCCTCAGGGATGCTGAGCCGGTCGTGCACGAAGGAGGCCAGGTTAGCTCGGGTCTCGGCATAGGGGCCATGACCCCGCAGCAGCTGTGGAAGAGCCTGCTGCGACGAAGTCGCGCTGCTCGAGCGCCGCCAGCCAGTCGCGGCCAACTGCGCCCGACGCCGCGTGTCCCGCCGCAATCCAGCTACCCTATCGAAGGTCGCCAGGCGCGGCCGCGCGCGGCCGGCCTCACGCCAGCGCGCGCCACGCATCCAATTCAAGCTCTCAACGGCGTCATTCGCGAGCCCCCTCACCTGCAGCTTCTCTCGCCTGGTCAGCCCGAAGCCGATGTCGGGGTCGAGCTGCTGCACCTCGGGCACCGGGAAGTACTCTCCCGCGCCGCCGGCCTCGTCGACCGCGCCCGGGGGCGGCCGCGCCCCAGGCTCTCGCCAGTCGCTCATCCAGCCCGCCAGGGGCGCCCGCGCCAGCGGCAGCTCCTGCTCCGGCCCTCGCTTTGGCCTTTGCCTTGGCAGCTGCGCCCCTGGGGCCGCCACTGGCGTCGCCCTCGGCCCTGGGCAGCTCTGGGCAGCCCGCCCAGCGCCAGCGCCGCGCCCGTCTCCTCGAGCTCCTGCCGGGCCCCGGCCACGCGCCCTCGCGCGGCCGCCGCCTGCCTCTGAGCCTCGCCCCTGGCAGCCCGATTGGCGGAAGACCGCAGCTCTGGGCCCGCCACAATCGAAGGGGCCCACCACGCCCGTCAAGTGCCGAGCGCTCTCCCAGGATGCCTGCCCCGGCGCGGGCCCACTCCGATAGGCTTCCACGATGGTCGCCAGCCGCCTCGCAATCGACTCCAACGCAGCGCCCCCTCCTAGGTTCAGGCCGTCGCATGGGTTCCCGAAAGTGCCTGCACCAAGGTCGTCAGCTCGCGGCGCGCCCGATTCCCCCCTGAAGCGCCGGGCCCCCTGCAGAACGTCAGAAACCACATCTTCGGATCGCCCGCACGCTGGACAAAGCGCCGACAGAGATGAAGACAGGCGCTCGCACCTCGGAGCTCGCATCCCTCGAAGGTGAACCGCGAGCTCTCGTCCACGGCCTTCCTCCACGACTTGAATCTCACGCCCTCAGCGGCCACTCCACGCAGAGCGTTCGAGCATCGCCCTCAGCCTCGGCCTCCTGCGCAGGCGGCGTCGCCGCACCCCTGGCCCTCTCAGCCCCGGCGTCCGCCGCCGCGAACTCCGCGCGCAGGTCGCCGCTCCGGCCACCATCCTCCCGCGCAGCGCCGGGCTCACCCTCGGGCGGGGGCCGCCCCAATAGCAGCGCGCCGCCAGATCTCCACCGAATCGGCCGGCACCTTCTCGCACATCACGTACCCGCCGCTCTCCAGCTGCACCAGCGCCCGAAAGCCTCCCTGCCCGACAGCTCGACCTCCTACGACGGGATCTCCCAGCTTCATGCCGCGGGGCGCCCTCACCTCCGCGACCGCGCACACGTAGTCGCCGAGCACGCCTCCCGAACCCGCACCGGGCCCGCTCAGCCCCGCCGAGCCGTCAGACGGCACCAGAGCAGCCTCTTCCGAGCTCACCACCTCCACGCCGTCGTCCGCCGCGTCCGCGAGCGCAGGCCGCGTCGCGGCCTCATCGCCACTCGCCTCCGCAGCCCGCAGTTCCGAGCTCACGCCCTTGCTGGTGAGCCTCCGCCTGACACGCCCGAACACGCTGTCCTCGACCACCAGCTCGCGCCCGCTCCAGTCCAGGAAGGTGGTGGGCCCCTCGCCAAACCGACCCCCCAAACGTGAAGGGGCCCTGGGACACACAAATAAATACACACAAATAAAAAGATTCCCCATATTTCCCCATATTTTCTGGGTTTCTGTCTTCCCCCCCACTTCCCATATTTTCGCATATTTTCTGGGATTCGACGAATAATTGTGTCTGTGTGTTTTTTCCCCTCCTGAAAACGTTCCGGCAAGCCCCGCTTCGCCCGGCACTTCATCGCCTCATCGCGCCTTTCCAGCACGCGGGCCAGCACCTCTCCTGCGGTCATCGCCCCCAGAAGCGAACGACGCCTCCTCTCAGATCGGCCGGCCAACCCCCGGTCAGATCGTAGATCCACACCCAGTCCTCTGCCCACTCTATGTACAGGTCGTCATCGGCAGTGAAAATCACCCAACCCTCGAACCGAATGTCTTTCCGCGTCGGCCACAGCAGCAGCTTCTCGTGAGAGTACGTGTCACCCTCGAACCGAACGAGCACCCGCCGCCCAGGGACGCGTCCAGTACGACTACTCATGGCGTTCCCGGACTCCTCGCGGCGGCCTGGGCTCTGATCGCCGACGCCCGCAGCTCCAGCCCAGCAGCCAGCTCAACGCCGCCAGCGCCGCCGCCAGCGCGAGCGTCCGCTCCGACTCCGCCTCGCGGTCTCGGCGGATGCCCTCCACCAGCGCGGCCACCTCGGGCGCCCCGAGGCTCGCCGGACAGTCCCCTGGCCCAGGCGGGGGCGGCGGCGGGCACCCTGGCCAGCCAGGACACGGCGGGCAGCTCGGGCAGCGCGCCTGCGCCTCCCCGACCAGGAGCTGCCTCGCCGCCTCCGCGGCCGAACCCCGAATCGCCTCGCGAAGAAACCCAGCGGCCGCTGGCGCCAGGTCCCCTAGGACCATGCCGCCACCAGAAGCTTGAGCAAGAGCGGTTGCGGGCAAGAAGAGCAAGGCCCGCAAGACACGACAGACGTTACTGAAGTCACAGCAATATCGTGGTACCCACAAACATTGATTTGTTTTCCGGCTTTTGACGGATTTTGACATTTGCTTCTTTTCGGCCTTCCGACGGCCCGAGACGGCCCAAGAGCCCCCGAAGATCGCCGAAAGATCGCCGAAGAGGCCTCCAAGATGGCCCCAAAACGGCCCAAGAGGGCCCCAAGACGGCCCAAGAGGCGTCCAAGAGGGCCTCCAAGAAGGCCCGAAAAGACCAAAATCATGCATTTCCCATGGGTTGTTGAAGGATTATGGCATTTGCGTTGTTTCTGCTTTCCTACGGCCCGAGACGGCCCAAGTGCCCCCACAGATCGCCCAAGAGGCCCAAGACACGGCCCCAAGAGACCCCGAAGACGGCCCAAGAGGTCTCCAAGACGCTCAAGATGGCCTCCAAGACGGGTCAAGAGCCCTCCAAGACCTCCTCCAAGAAGGCACGAAAGGGTCAAAATGGCCTCCAGACGGCCAAGATGACCTTCAAGATGCCAACGTGTTCCCCGAAGGCTTTCCAAACCGATTCGGGGAACACATGGTCCGATAGCTTGGCAGGTCTGGCCTCAACGTTCGGCCACATAGGCGCTTCCAAAAGGCAGGGGGCGGCGGTGATTCGCCGTAGGAGTCTTCGATCCGCCGCCCCCGGTCGATTCATCGCAGGGGTGCCTGGCGTGCTGGATCCTATCGGTGTTTCCCCACATCCTAAGTGGGGCTCTTGTTTTCTCTGGCCACCCTCCGCGCAGGATCTCCTCCTCACCCCCCTCTCTCTCTCACTCTCCCTCTCACCATCATCATCATCATCATCATCAGCATCATCATCATCATCATCATCATCATCATCATCATCATCATCATCAGCAGCATAATCATCATCAACATCCTCATCATCATCATCATCATCATCATCATCATCATCACCATCGTCAGCATCATCACCACCATCATCATCATCATCAGCATCATCATCATCATCATTAGCATCATCATCAGCATCATCATCATCGCACTCATCACCACTCGTCATCATCATCATCACTCATCCACCCACTCACTCACCCATTCAATTACTCGCTCATTCACCCATCACCGTCACTCGGAAGTATCAACCGGGAGCCTCGTCGGTGAGTGAATTGTAAGGAGGTCTCAGGCGGGAGCCCCCTCCCTATGGATCCCGCGCTTCATGTTGGTAATCCGAGCGGGTCATCGGCAACCTTTAACTGTCGTCACGCTCGGGGCTCTCAAACCTGAATTTGGAGGAAGTATCAACCGGGAGCCTCGTCGGTGAGTGAATTGTGAGGAAGCCTCAGGCGGGAGCCCCCTCCCCATGGGTCCCGCGCTTCATGTTGGTAATCCGAGCGGGTCATCGGCAACCTTTAACTGTCGTCACTTCTGGGGTTCTCAAGCCTGAATTCGGAGGAAGTATCATGCGGGAGCCTCGTCGGTGAGTGAATTGTGAAGAAACCTCAAACGGGAGCCCCTTCCCTATGGGTCCCGCACTTCATGTTGGCAATCCGAACGGGTCATCGGCAACCTGTAACTGTCGTCACTTTTGCGCTCCCCAGGCTTGAATTTGGAGGAAGTATCAAGCGGGAGCCTCGTCTGTGACTGAATTGTGAGGAACTCTCAGGCGGGAGCCCCCTCCCGACGGGCCCCGCGCTTCATGTTGGCAATCCGAACGGGTCATCGGCATCTTGTAATTACTCCGACGGAAGGACCCCACATGAGAACCTGTTTAGATTGCCCTTACCCTTTTCCTCCTCGCCCTGACGGACACTCTCCTCTCGCCCGCCGTTTTACCCTCACCTACTCCCCCTCTTCTATTTATCCTCCTCCTCCTTCTCCACTTCCTCCTCATCATCACCCCCTCCCTACACCTTCCCCGTCCTCGTCCTTCCCCTGTTTCTTCTCCGCGCGTTCCTCCCCTTCCCCCTGGTCGGGGCAAGCAAATCGATGTTCCTCGGCGCCGGCGCCGCCGCGGCCAGAGCGCGCGCATTCCCCGACGGCTGGCTCGCGAAGCCTTTGGGGCAACCCCGCGGGCCCTTGTTCAGCCTTTGGGATTGATGTAGAAGCCCGCGTTCAGCCTTTGGAAGTTGATGTAGGAGCCCGTGTTCACCTCGTCTGGTCTGGTCCGCTTGGGAGAAGACGCTGGCCGGGAACAACCGGGGCCTCCTGGACCCGCGGCAGCAGCACGAGAACTTTCTGCTCGGCTACGGCATTGGCATCTATTGGGAGACGCTCGCGAAGTGGATAAACAAGCGCGCTCGTCGCGACGCGCGGCGTCTGGGCGTGCCCCTCGTTTTCCTGCAGGCCGTGGACGAGTGCGGCACGATTCCAGGCGACCCAAACGCGGGCCGGCGCCTCGTGAATGTCCCGAACATGCACAAGACGGGGGACATCCATGGCGTTTTACCGGCACACGTCGGCATGGAGGTTCGGTTCACGGCCGCGCAGGAGGAGCTGAAAAAGAAGTTGGGGCTCGTGCAGGAGCCACGCGCCACCATCGTGTCCTTCGAGTTTCACGCAGACGACGAGCGCGACTACCAGGAGTGCTCGGCTGGCCAGCTCTTTCGCCCCCGCTACCTACCGCAGGGAATCTGGCTGCAGGTCCACGGTTTCAAAGAGTCTCCGATCTACACGGAGGTCGCCGAACTGCTGCGACAGGGCGCCGATGGCACCGACGACGATGGCGAGGCCTAGGCGCGGGCGAGGAGCTTGCTCATGTTCAGGCCCAGCGAGCAGCAGCTCACGTGGCAGAGCTCGG